TGAGCAAGACAACGCATGCCTCCTTTATCCCAAATGGAAAACTTCATAAACGGAATGGCAAGCGTGACGACGTCAACACACGACCGATCGGAGCCCTCGCAACCGTACTTTCTGGCGGCATCCCGCTCGAAATTCCTCCAGATTCCCTCTGGGAGATGAGTCTTGACGAGGGAGCGAGAGGTGAGGGCAAGGGAGTGGTGCGTGTTGAGGTCACTAAAAGGGGAGGAAAGGGGGTGCGGCATCTTCCACCCAATGCGCTCCACCGAAAGCTTCAAAGTTCCCGCGGGGCCCGATGCGATCCTCCAGGTGCAAGGCGAAGGGGAACTAGCGTCCCAGAGCTCCCCGAGCTCGTTCCAAGAAAAACAAGAATCGGCAATCTCACTGTGCCTGGGCCAAACTTCTTTTGGCCAGCGAATGATAAGGGACACAATGCCAAACCAAACGGGCCCCCCCCTCGATTCGCGAAGGGGTCGTCAAGCGACGGCCGCCAACAAAAGGGCTTCATCGTAGCAACAGGAGCGCCGAATCTTTCAACTTTTCCGTCGCTGCAGCCATGCGCCTCGCTGCAGTGCGTGATTCTTGGCAGGGGCACAGCCGCGCAGGGCTAATTCGCTCTGCGTCCTACAGCAAGTCGCAACGTTCAACTCGACGGCTCGCTTTGGCCGCTCTGGCTTCGAGTCGACCATTGCGGCCTCGAGCCCGTCGGGCGCGTCCTGCACTGTCGGTAATCTCCAAGTTGACCCCCGACTCCTCGTGAACTCCCCCAGGCTCCCTCAACCTTTTCTGGGCGTGTCTGGGAACGTCCTCGGGCGACGAGATGAGGCCGACGCCGGCGTAGATGGGCCTCGACACAACGCCCCTGGAAACAATGAGACTCGCGGCACGATAGCCCGCCAAACAAACAGAGGCAACGGGGGCGGGGACTCGGGGATGGGCGCAACGAAGCGCCGGGGTCTCCAGCGGGATACGCTCGCGGTTCTTCGTGTAATCCCACAAGAGGGTGCAAGTATGCTGCGGCTGGCTGCGAGACCTCTCCGAACTGGCCGTCTGTCTCCACGCGACGTCTCTCGCCGCCTTGTGCTGGCCTGCCGCCCGAAAAAGAGCGTTGGTTAGCAGATTCCCACTGCGCGGCATGAGTGTGGCGGCAACCGCCCCGGAGACGGTGCGCGCCAGGAAAAATCCGATCGGCCTGACTCCCGTCGTAGGTTTCGGCGACGTAGCGATCATGGCCACGCGCAGCGGGGAGGGGGCATGCCAATCAAAGTCCGTAATCCCGATAAGCCTCGAGAGGGCCTCCAAGCCCCTATCAGACAGCAGCGCAAAGTGGCGCAAGTGAAAACCGTCAAGCCCCATCGCAGAACGGTGAACCAATTTTCTGGACAGCTTCCAGGTCGCAGAAGTACATCTGGGAGGCAGAGGGTCGTTGATCGCCCCAGACTGCCTGACAGGGTCTCGAGCGCCTCCCACAAGCAGCGGAAACGCGATGCATCCTTGGCCAAGGGCGAGTGCGGGTCGGACGCAACGCAGCCCGTGGAGCAGAGTGGTGCTGGCCTTCCAGGCCTGCGGGCCCTTCGTGAAAGAGCGTACCCTCCGCCTTCCTCGGCCCGCCTTGTCCGCGAGCCGGTTGGCCCAGTCCCTGCCGGCCCGGGTCGCGCATGAACTGGGTCATCCTTCCGCAAACTCGGAAACCACGTCGCCGAGGCATTCGGAACAATCCTGAGCCAGGAAATTCGATATGCTACTCGCAAGTCGATCCGAAACTAACTTACATACTATTTTCCAGGACGTCAGGAACACATCGGGGCCTCGGGGCCTTCGTCGGGCCCCGCGTCCAGGACGGGCTTGCGCGAACTCTGCGGAGACGGCGCGCGGGTCCGGGCCGCTCCTCGAGCCGGAGGCCAGTCCGCACTTTGGGCGGCGCCGAGGGGCCGCGCGACAACGTGGCCAGCCAGCGGCGGGAGTGGAGCTGAGGGCATCTGACGCAACACTTGTCTTTCCCGAGAATCGGCCTCGAGTGGGTGATCGGCCACTTGCCCCTCGACCCAAGTGACCAGTTCAAATCAGGAAGTCCCAGCCAGCCCAGGCCCTGCCAGGGCTGCCAAGGACGCGCGCGCCTCGCTGACGAGCGTGGAGGTCATCGGCGCGTCGTCTCCACGTGTCTAACTGGGCGTTGACGCGCTCGAAATTCACGGGCTCGGGCTGATGCCCCGCTGGTGGGCGGCGGGGGCGGCCTCCTTAAAGTAAGGTAGCGCATCCTAGCGATGCCCGCGTAAGAGTCGAGCCGAACAGGTGGGCGAGTGAAGAAGCCAGTGTTCTCGGTGGGGGGGTGGTGCCCTGGGTCGCCTTCGCCGCGACCGAAAGACCAAGCGGAATCATCGTGCTCCTTAGCGTCCCCAGTGAAGCATGTTGGTCTGCTGTTGCAAATGACTTGGCCGATGAAGGTTCTGGCGAATTGTGGCCCGCCCAGGACTGCGGGCTCCATGTTCCAGTCGCTCCCCATTAGGGGGGGCTTCCCGCGGGTCGGCCTCGCCGCTCCAATCGCCGCTGGAGAATCGACGTTGTCCTCGGAGGACCTCGCCGCCCCCGAGGTAAATCGAGCAAAACTGGAAAACGCACCCTTGGGGGGCGTGAGCCAGCGCCGTCGAGGCTCGGTGGGTGGCCGCCGAGGACCCAGCAGAGGGCCCATGCAATCCCGAGTAAGCCTTGCAGGGAATGGCAACGCCAGCGGATGGGCCTCCTCCAGGGCCCGCGGTGGCAGCGGCCCACAAAATCTTGAAATCCAGCCGCGAGCACGTGACCGAGGCGCGATTTATCGCCTCCTAAGACGCAAGCTTGTGTTACTGGAGAAGGACGACTTCTGAGTTGACACTTGGCAGCCAGTCTTTCACCGACCCACGCGAGTCGCCGTTGGCGGAGGCGACGCTCGGACGGAGCCACTCGGCCTCGGGGGTGGTGGAGTGGCGAGAGGGCCCCTCGACAGACGCTGGCCGCCCTGGGGGCTGCCGCGCCCTGAAACAACATCGAAGCGCGAAAGCTGTTCGCAGGGCGGGGTCTCCGCGCCCGAACCGCGGCGTTCTGGGGCCCTGCATTCCGGATGACGAGTTAAGCGACTTGCGGGGGGGGGAAGAGGCCTGGGGGCGCCTGGGCCGAGAAAGCGCACGAACGCTCTGACCGCCAGAGGTCAGATACGAACGAGGGCCCCCCCTTTGACAGCGTCGCCGCCAAGTCGGGCCCGCGCGCAACTCCTTCCGCGTGCGATCGCGGCGGGCGATGGCCGCGACGGCCTCTCGAGCGCTTTCGGCCGACGAACCTTTAGGTGCTGATGCTTCGCTGTCTCCGCCTTCCGCCTCAGCGGCGCCCTCAGGCGTGGCGGGCGCAGCGGGCGCAGCTCCTCCGGCGTCGCCGCTGCCTGGCGAGCCTCCGCCGCCAACGGGGGCATCTCCGTCGCTGCCCCACCGACGTTTGCCTGCGATGCGCGCGCGGTAGGTCTCGTGCTCCTTCCTGACCGCCTCAGCTCTCTGGAGGCGCTCTCGAAGAGTTGCGTGGCAGCGTTGGCGACGTGATCCTTGGAACTGCGCGCGGCGCTTAGCTACTTCGTCGTGGTCGGCCCGTGCAAGCCCCGCCTCGCCAGGCAGGTCGCTGGAGAGGCCGCCGTCGTCGATGGTGATGTTGGAAACCTTGCCCGCCACCGGGTCGCGTGGGGGGAGAGCCGGTCCAACGGCGGCAGGAGCTGGAGCAGCGGGCTTGGCGGAAACGCCCGGGGTGTGGAGGTTGGCCACGGGAGCGCCGTGCTGCTCGAGAAGAGACTTAAACTCAGCCGAAAGATCGTTGAGGTAGATGTCGTGATTGCGTGCACGTGCAACCCATCTTTTGTACGTGGCGAACTCACTACGTGGCGAGCTCGCCTTCCATCTTCTTGTCCAGCTTCGAGCTCTCCCGATGCAGATCAGAGACTTGATCTTGAAGTGACTTGGGCTTAGGCTTCGCCTTGGCAGTGAGAATTTCGATCTTGGCCTGGTACTTCTGAGTGGTTGCTTCGCCGCCGTCGCGCTCGGCAGGGAGACGAGCATCTGGAGCTCGGTGGACCCCAGCGGCCCTGACGCAGGGCTGGCCGCTCCCGAATCTCCTCCCCGAGGCGCTAGTGGCTGAAAACCAGACGGGAGGGACTGCCATACACCAAGGGCAATACATCCAGGAGACATCGGCTGCCCACGAAAATGAAACCACACACCGCGAGGACCATGAGGCTGAGCTGTCGCGGGTGCTTGACGTTCCGCCCGATTTGCTTGCAGTAGGAAAATATGATCGAAGTCGTGCCGCACCCGGACTGCACGCACTTCCAACCGTCGAAGGGCGCTGACTGCTGCCCACGCTCGCTGCGGAACCCGCAAAGGCCCACCGTAGTAGTGCGACTGAACCTGGCGCCGCGGCGGGAGGGGGCTTCGCCACGGGGATCCATGGCCTTTGCCGCCGCCACCCTTGCCGCCACCTCCATGGCGAGATCTGAAAGTGAAACGAAACGTCTACATTGGCCCGCTGACACCAGGTGCCGTTGAATAATGGTGCCAACACCGCTACTCGAGCGCAAGACGGCTGGAGGGAGGGAGGGAGGGCGGAAGGGAGGGAGGGAGGGAGGGAGAGGACGGAGGAGGGGGATGGCGGGAGGGAAGGAGAGGGATTGAGGGAGGAGGTAAGGAGGGAGGGAGGGAGGGAAGGAGGTAGGTAGGGAGGAGGAAGGAGGATGGGGTAGGAGAGGAGGAGGAGGAGGAGCAGGAGGAGAGGAAGGATGAGCGGATTAGAATGCGGGGGAGGAGGAGGATGAGGAGGAGAATCGGAGGACTGATTAGGAGGATTGAGGAGAGACGGATGAGCAGGAGGAGGAGGAGGAGGAGGAGGAGGAAGAAAAAGAGGAGGAGGAGGGATGGCGAGAGGAGGGAACGAGGGAGGCAAGGAGATGCAGAGGTGACGTCGCCGTGTCGACGACTCCCCAAGGCGCCCGCCTCGGCCGGGGGCGCGCGTCTGGCTTCCTGCTCGGGCTCCTCCTCCGCCACCCGACGCCTCGGGCTCTGGGCGCCTTCCGGCGGTCCTCGGCGCTGGGCGCTGCTGGGCGGGGAGGTTAGGAAGCAACTCCTGGGAGGTCTGGGCGCGAACGGGCCCATGGAAAACGCCTCCCTGGTCGACCCCCCTTTGGTGGCCCACGTGCAATGCCTGCTGCAGTTGACTGGGTCAATACGAACGTTTCGCTGGAGAGGTCTCCGCAATCTGTGGGCGAAGGGGCACATGAAACACGCCTGATCGACACCCCCCTGGGTGGCTCAAGTGCTATGCCTGCTACATCGCTGTGATCATAGGGTTCGAATAGAGACATGTCTGCTCGGCCCAAACGGGTGTTTCGCCTGCCTGCTTGACTCTTTAACGCTGCCTGCAACCCGCTGGCGCGTCGGAGGAAGAGAGTGTGTGTGTGTGTGGCGGCGGGGGGTGGACACCCACCGCAGCTGCGGTTAATGCCTCCTCGACCTTCTCTCTCTCTTTCTCCCTACATCTCTTCCTTCTTCTCTTCCTCTGTCTCCTTCCTCCGCTCTCTTGCTTTCCGACTCCACCGCGTCCGATCGCGGCGCACACAAACAACCTCCCACTGCCAGAGCCTCTCTCCATTCTCGTTCTTCTTCTTCTTCTTCTTATTCCTATTCATATTCTTCTGTATGCGTATGCTGGCGCACATGACGTAAGTTTCGATAGAGCTCGCGCACGAACTTTTAGCGCGGCCTCCTTCGAAGCATGACGAGTGAGGAGGCATCTCGCGCTGTTTTACGCCGTCATGCTCCGAACGAATCAACTGACAGGGGGAGGCCTGCCAAGCACGCGAGCGCGCTCTCGATCAAGACGTGGCCTGCAGCGGGCCGAGGTGGTCAGCTCTGGTGGTTCCACGAGAGCGCTGCTCTCTCAAAGCCCAGAGACGGAGAAAGCGGCCCCCGTTTCCCAGGTCCAGTAAAGAACGACTGTCAAGGCACGGGCTGGTTGCCGGTGCTGCTCGGCACACGCTCGTATTCATTACCCATCGGTCGGAAGAAGCAGGTGGAAACATGAAGTAGGAAAGCGTTGTGCCGACTTCAGCGTTGGTTTCTGACACCGAGGAGATCGTTCGACCTTGAACGATCGGCCATTTCCGAAACGTCAGATCGCTCAGCATCGACCGATTCTGGGTCGCCGGCGGCGTTCAGCTTTGAACGCCGGCAGGGTCGCCGCTGATCGGCACGTCGCGAGCCTACCGTACGCACGCGTCCGAGGAGCTCTCGCCGCAGCAGAGCTCGGTCCTGGAGCTCGCGTGGAGCACTCCCCCTCAAGGAGCCCAGCTGCGGCCAGCGGCTTCCCTCCAGCATCCTCTCCGGTGGCTGCGGCGCGGCCCTCTGCAGGCTGCGGCTCACCTCTGTGCACCGGCGGCTCGTAGGGCGTCAAGCCGTCGTGCTCCGACTCAGGACGGCTGCCCTCCGAAGCCTTCGGGCAAGAGGCCAAGATTAGGACGAGAAAGGTGCCATGATGCGATTGGCGCAAGATTTGTTCCAGGAGTTCCAGAGTCTCTGGCAACCCTCGCCTTGGGAGTCCGCGCGGGACGAGGAAAGCGTATATGTCGTTGTCACGACTTCTTGCTCGTCTGAACACGCATAGATCGCCTTCGTTTCGTATGCTTCGCTGGCTCGGCCGACAGAGTTGCGTGCCAACATCCAGACCCCCCCCCGAGAGAATCAAGACACCGGCACTGTTTCCTCGATCGGCCTCCCGTGACCCGAACTGGCCCGACACGCGAGCTGACAACCTCGAGCTGGGGTATCAATACGAAGGCAGGATGAAGGACGAGGACAAATTAGGAATCTCTGAGAGCTGGCGGGTCTGACGGATGTATCGGGCGCCGCGGCCGTCTCAGATCGTTCCGGGACGCTCTGAGGGCGTCCTGGAGCGCTCTGGAGCGATCTGTCTTCGTCCTGGGCCTGCCTGAGGTCTGACCCTCGGGTGGCGATGCGAAATCTTGACGCGCCACCCACTTTCGACTGCCGCAGCGAATGCCGGCGTGGCACGTGTGAGAACGTCAAGTGTCTGACTGGGACGATCGAATCGGGACTCCGAGCTCGCTCCAGATTCTAGCCGCTGAGAACAGAACACTGCGTGGCAATCATGTCTCGAGAAGCTGTGGTGCAAGCCAGATCGGTGGTCGTCCAACCGCGGGTTCGCCAGCGAACTCACGTGGCCAATGCAGTGGTAGCTCCAAGGGGGCTCTGGCGTCAACCCGTCGTGTCTGGCCTGATCTGTTTGTCTACTGTGGCGAGGTCTTACGGAGCAGGTCCAAGCGATCCGCTGAACGATAGCCTCTCGCTGCTCTGCCAGGCCGTGAGGCATGACCCGGCGGCATGATGACCACCGAGCCTCTCGAAAAAGTGCGGGCGGCAACAAGACCACGACCGCAGAACATGAACGACATAAGAGGCAGGACGTGCCAGAAAGGAA